AATGCCCAATTTGTCCTGAAAATACAAGGTATAATCCACACAGATACATAAAGTAGTTGTGATGATATGTACAGTTTTACTAACACAGGTCAAAATTGCAAAATTGTGCTTAGGTATTAAAAATTGTTTTTACTGTCAGGTGGGAAGGGGTTAATGAATGGTTAGGGGGTGTAGCTGTCTAACTCCTCAATGTCACTACTTCTTAAACATTTCATAGATCGCACCTATAAGGGAACATATCAAAGAGATCTGAAGGATAGACTCTTATTCCCATTTATGTTACCTCTAAGACTGTTACCTACTGCATAAACTCACTATAGCGTACATATACCAGGGTGTAAAGAATATCAAGAAGGAAACTATCGGGTTGTTAAAGTTGACCTAACACCTGAGCAGGGGCGGACTGACAACTCATGGGGCCCCCAGGCAATAGGGGATCATGGGGCCCCTGTGTCCTTGCCCAAACTCAAAAAAAGCCTATGAAAAAGGTACCAGGGGCATCTCATGGGGCCCCCTACTGACCTTGGGGCCTCGGGCAGTGCCCAAGTTTCCAAATGGTCAGTCCGCCCCTGCACCTGAGTTGGAATTGACTTGGAGGAAGAGGGGGTACTTTTGGAGGCTTTTTAAAAGTGATTTAAGAATGTAAACAAAACAAGGCATCAATATAAGTATCCAATATAGAAGCAACCAAAGCTGGGAGTAGATGAGAGGTAGAAAAGGAGCAGGGATAGGCGAGAAGATAAAAAGAGAGAAGGGAAGAAGTGAAAAAAGTGGGGGTAGACTTGTATTGGGAAGCAGGAAACAAGGAGAATGTGGTAGACTTGTATTGGGAAGCAGGAAGCAAGGAGAATGTGGTAGACTTGTATTGGGAAGCAGGAAACAAGGAGAATGTGGTAGACTTGTATTGGGAAGCAGGAAGCAAGGAGAATCTGGTAGACTTATATTGGGAAGCGGGAAACAAGGAGAATGAGGTCTGGAGGGGAAGGACAATTTTGAAAAGGAGGTGGTGCTCATAGGAGAAGTTAATGAAGGGTAACGATGGGATGATGAAGCTGGGGGTCTTAAGATCCAGGATCAACCAATTTCCAGAGGATCAATATAAGGGATATTAGAGAAGGACTGGTTGGGATAGTCAAAGTCGATGGTGGATTTTTATTCTATTAACCACTTCCCATCCGGATGGTGGCAGTGCAGGGGCGGGTGGCTGTTTATAAACGCCTCCCCACACCCTGCTTGTGCGCGCTCCCTGGGAGCGCACAGCACCGCGATTTGGTGCCCACTGTGTCCCTCCGATCGTCGTACTGGACCTCTGTGCGAGGTCCCGATCATGTGATCACTGATTGGCCAATCAGTGATCACATGCAGAGTATTATTATTATTATTGTACAGTATTTATAAAGCGCCAATAGTTCGCTCAGCGCTGTACATTACAAAGGGGGACGGAACATGTGACAGAACAATAACAATACAATGTAAAACATGAGGGGGGATGGAGGAGAGTAGTAAACAAGATGTCACTTGTGACATCATTGCTTACTACGTGTGAAATCTGTGAATGATCACAAAGGTCACATGGTACAAGGCTATTCACAATTGCCTTGTACCATGTGACAAGCTGTAACCAATCACAGCTCACACGGTATTTCTCAATGGCTGCAAGAATGCAGCCAGAGAAGGAGAAATTATTGCTTTTACAGCCTTTATGGGTATAAAAGCAATCAGTCTAACAAAAAAAAAAAATCTTCATCACCCCCCACAAGTAGTACAGTGTCACCAATAATAATGTAAAAAAATAAAATAAAAATGTAAAAAAAAATAATTTTTGGTTATAAACTAATTTGGGTTATTTTTTTTTTACTAAAAAGATAACTGAATAAATTTTGGCCAAGATTTATGATGAAATATTATTTATTTGCAAAATAAGATAAGAAAAACACTTTTTTTCAAAATTTTGGGAATTTTTCATTTATATAGCAAAAAAATAAAAATCCCAGTGGTGAAGAAATACCACCAAAATAAAGCTTTATCTGTCTCAAAAAAATGCTAAAATATTCATATGGGTACAGTGTTGCATGACCGCGCAATTGTCATTCAATTGGCCTGGACAGGAAGGGGGATAAAAGTATCCGGACTAGAAGTGGTTAAGAAAAAGACTGGTGTGGCTTTAGTGAAGTCAAGGCATCTAGGTGAGTCTGTATCGGTCAAGTAATCAGAATCTCCCTCATTTCCTCCATCTAGGAAATGGAGTCCACTCTGTGTTTCTTACAGTGGAGAGCAATGAGTGTCTTATAACGATTAATCAACTGTGAACAAGGAGATTTTTTGAAAGAGTGGATAGACTCATTGAATATACGGAGAAGACGATGGTGAGGATCTAGAGGGTGGTTTGCCCTGCTGATAAAAGTGGTCCAATGGTGGAGTGTGATCTTTATGGTAAATAATAGGGCAAGTCCTTCTTATATGAAAGAAGAAGAAATCTCCATGTTACAAAGTTAGACTCATGAAAGATCTAATGTAGTCTTTCAGGAGTCATGTACCATCTTGATTGGAGTTTGTAAGCAGAGTCTTGCATTTTGGAGCTTACAGAACACTTACCATATATGGCAGAATGCAAATCCTGCTCCATTGGTCATCATCAAATTGATCAGTTGAACTCAAATCAGTTGATATGGCCATTGGTGGTGGTGGCTAACAAATTGTATCATTTTGAGAACATGTAATCTTCATTGTATTTTTTTGGAATCTTACGCAGCCTTGAAGTAGGGGGTTACCCTAAACCCACAAAAACATGTTGGCTTTTATTGAATATTTTATAATAAAATTAAGTTTTGGACTTTATAAACTGAGTGTAAACTGTGATTTTCTCTTTGCAGCCTATGTTTTTTTTGTTGCAGTCTTTGTCTCCATTAGGAAAAGTCACCCTTTCTTTTTGTCCTGGTGACCATTGCCTCTAGGACTGAAGGTTAGGGGAAAATTAAAAAATTGTGTTGTCACCAGAACAGGAATAGAAAATCTTATAATGGACACAAATGTTCCAGTCACAACTATATAGACGTGATTCCACTCAATTTAGAGAGATTTCCCCTCACTTCCTGTTGTGTCTACAAGACAGAAAGTAAAGGGAAATCCTGGATGGAAACCAGAAGTCAAAAAAAGAAGAAGGGTTTTAACCCTGCCCTATATTGGGACCTGGGTCTGAACCTGGGACCTCTGCTGTGTCTGGCAACATCTCTCCTTGTTGAGCCACTGAGATGCTGGCCAACTTGCTTTCTGATCCATTAGACAATCCTGCCTTGTTTCTGCTGAACCTTGAACTCGTTGAGCCTCCCATGAACTTCCTATTTTAGCCATGCCTTTTGGACTTCCTGTTTGCCAGATTATTGTGTTTGTTGCAGCCAATATCTCACTCTTGTCCCTCCTGCTGCCCTCCGTATCTTTGCTATCACCCATTACCGACTTCTGGCTTGTTCCTTGACTATGCTTCTGCTTAATCCTTGCCTGCTATATCTGCTACCAGACCTCCTGGTGGAGCGATCCTGAGGACCACGACCTGGTACTAACACACAGCAAAACCCATCACCACCATAAGAAGCTCTGGTGAACGCCAATTAGTACTTAGACTCCACAGCTTGGGTGAGCCCGTGTCATCTGCCAGAGTGACCTTCTGCTGCACCTATCCAGCTGGTCAGTGGGTGTCTCTCTACTGGCCTCTGAGCCTGACTCCTGATCGTGACACCCTACTTTATCCAAATCGAAAAAAAAAAAATGATTTTAGATACACTTTGGGGGTCTATTTTTAAAACACTATTTGGACAAATGTCACACATTCGTGGCTGTAGATTCTCTAGTTCTAGTAGATTAATTCCTATGATTAACAGATCCATCTAGTGGCCAAAAATGCAGTATTTTTTTTCTCATTGGGGTATTTCAGAAAACTATACCACATTTTGGCCACTTAGAATTAATCTATTAGAAAAATTACAGTCAAAATTAGTTAGGCATGAATGAATGTGTGTGGCATTCATCCAACAAATGTCTTATAAATAGACCCATTTGGGTATCCTCAGGAACCAGCACTTTGTCACTGTTGATACTGTAGGTCAGCTTCATTTTAATGAAGTATTGAGACTTTTGGGGCTGCCAAAAACTTGGTGAAAGATGCCTTTTCCCATTAAGATCATGTTTGCTGCTATATTCAGTTATACAAACAAAAAAAGAATACAATAATGATGGTGCCCTGACTCTTTAGTTTTGGAATATTTAACTGATTATATTACAAATAAGTCTTTCTGGTGATTTTGCTGTTTTGAGTTCATGCTATAATTTTTAAAATACAAACCCTGATGAAGGAGGAGTGTTTTGAGCATCTGAAAGGAGTTGTCTTTTTGTAGTGAGGCAGAAAAAAATCTTATTACGGACTTTATAAGTGGTACTTCTATTCTTTATCTCATCTTCAGGTTTTTATAGCTGTGTGTCCACGCTGGGGATGATTGTATCTCACTTCCTGTCCTGATGACCACACAGGACGAGAGTCTCAAAGGGACCTCAGGAAGCAATAAAACAATTCTAACATTTACCAAAAATATCCAAAGATAAAAGAGAGTTTGGCTAACACTGGCCTAGATCAGTCATCACTGAATGTCTGTTTTGGGGGTTTGTCAGCTTTTATGGAATCCATAAGTCGATCTTCTAACCTGTAGCTCCTTTGCAGGAATACAAACTGCTGTCTTGTAATTTTTTTTTTCAGCAAAAGAGACACTGCAATTTTTTTTATTCTCTGCGCAAGACTATGTAAGGCATACAGGGTTAGTTTCAGTGCTGGCTTAGATTACCAGAAGCTCAGGGGACCATTATCCTACACCAGTGGTCTCCAAACTGTGGCCCTTTGCTTGCAATTACCAGTTGAAGTAGAGCAGTGCAGAATAGCAAATAAATGGCCTGGTCATGAAGGACGTAAAAACTTTCTGGTGATGAAGTGGTTAGAAATGGGAACACATTACCTCTCCTTTCACAGGAGGGAGATGGAGGCGCTGACTTCCAGGCTCTCGGCTTGTCTCCAATACTCTCTCTAGATAAACTCTTGTTGTCCAGGAAGACGCTCTCAAGCTCCTCAGGCTGCGGGGAATCTGGAGGAGACATTTCCTGCCCGGGACACAATAAGAAATAATAAAAGAACAGATAATAATAAAATCAGAGATACGTAATAGGAGAGCCGTTTTAGAGGCGAGAACTCTGATAGAGTGTCCATGTTAGTACCAGGTTGTGGTCCTCAGAATCGCCCCACCAGGAGGTCTGGTTGCAATATAGTTGGTTTGAAGGTGCGATCAGAGTGTGGACTTACATTGTGACTTCTGGAGCAAGGGCGCAGTGACATGAGTCGGTGTTTGTTTTGTTGTTCCCTACCATATTTTGTTCCACAATTCAGAAGATCTTTGGGAAGTCCTGTGCCATCTACCCTCCCCAGCCTATGGATGGACATAAATCACCCCGAGGTCCCCACACTTTCAAGTCTGTAGTAGTAAACCCTCAGTACAATCAAATGAACATTCTCCAGTAAACTATTTGTTAAAAATCTTACCCCAGCAATTGCAGTTCACAATTTTCAATGCTGCTGGCAACTGCTCTCTCAGTGCTGCTTCCCTGAACTTCCACTCCTCACAGGAAAAGAGTTAACAGTGGACAGTGCAGTCTCCAGCCAGTCTGATAGCTTGGAGAATAGAGGGGGTGAGCAGGAGGTGTCTTTTCCATCCTAGGCTATGGGGCTGTGTGTTTCTATTGATGCACATAGTGTAGGGAGACAAAATTCAAGTTCTTGCATGCAAGGCTGGCTCAAAGGATGCTGCAAGAGAAAGTAGCCACCCTGACACAGGAAACCTGGGGCACCAGTCATGGTATTAGCTTAAGACTCCATTCACACTTGTACAGCTTGTCATGAAACTTTGGACACTAAAGCCGCATGACAAGTTGCACCCCAAGTTTTCTAATGACAACCATTCAAATGTGTGTCTTGAAGTCGCTGCGACTTTTAAGAAGGCTCCTGCACTCATTTGGTCTGACGTTCGTGCGACATGAGTACCATAGACTGCAACCGTAGACTGCAATGTAAACCCTCAAAAGTCGCATTAAAGTTGCATCCTAATGTTATCAATGCGACAGTTGTGCAACAATCAAAGTCAACAGCCAAATTCGCATCCATGTGGCACCCATCCAAATTGCATCAAAGTTGCAATCGAAAAGTTGCAATGAAAATCGCACAACTTTGGAATAACACAAGTGTGAATGGAGCCTAAAATGGAACACAAGCGAGGATTAAAGCTCCATTCATGCTTGTACGACTTCAAACTACGACTTTGGTGCAACTCTGAAGCAACTTTGGATGGGTGCAACTTGAATGTGACTCGTTGTTCCTCTGCAAAGTCGAACCAAACTGTTGAACCACTGTTGCATGTAAAACATTCAGGTACGCCTTTCATGCAACTTTTGAGGGTTAACATTGAAGTCTATTGCCTTCATGTTGCATGAAAGTCGAACTAAAGTAGTGTATGAACTACTTTGTAGCCGCTGTGACTTTAGGTCGCACATATATGAATGGTTATCATTGGAAAACATGGGGTATGACTTGTCGTGCAACTTTGGTGTCCAAAGTCACATGACAACTTGAACATGTGTGAATGGGATGTGAAAGATAAAGAAGCTGTATACTCAGTAGGTGATTAAATCAGCTGATGAAAGTGCTTTAAAAAACTGAAGGTTTAAAGTATATGTGAGCCCCCTATCTGTTAAACATTTGTGTGTGTACAGTATATGTATTTACCACGCTTCTTTTTAAGTGACTTAAAAATTGCACCAAAAACATTTCTCAGATGTGTTTTTAAGGTGCTTTGCAGGTGCTTTGCAGGTGTTTTTTTCAGGCGTTTTCCATTGATTTCAATAGGAAGAGGCGTTTTTGGGGCGTTTTTTTTTAACTCCCCAAATATGCTGCAAGCAGGAGTTATTACACTGCACCACAAGTTCAACGCCTCAATGTAAAGACATACATAAAAAATATAGAATAATATATGTGTTGCGCTCCTCAAAATATTATTACATAATATATATTGTAATGTATATTTGAAATAAATTAAATAAATAAATAAAATAAATATAATCTCATAATAATATGATGTGAATAAAGTGAAAAAACGTGCCCAGTGCTGTGGTTAATATAGAGATACCTGAAAAATGATGATGTGTGTAATATTCAAAAAAATATTATCTATTATGCCACAAATCAAATGAATAAAGAAAAACCTCTTTGATTGATAATAAACGAGTGCAAAAAATTATGCATGTGCAAAAATAGCAAATATTGCCTTAAACACTGAAAAATGCATATATATATATATGTGATGAAAAAATGTATATAACACCCAATTGATTATATAAAAAAAATATTAATAAATAATACTAAAAATTATGCAGATCATGAATAATTATCAGTCCACTTGTACCACTAGAGACGATAATTGGAATTACATGCTCTAAATGCTTATTTAGGCTGAAAAGTAATCGTCCCAATCTATGTGGATATATGGAAAGTCTAAAGATGTGGTAAACTGTAGTGTTGCTTTCCTTCCACTAGATGGCCTCCCAGTTTCTTCCAAGTATGACGGATGAGTGGATAGATATGGGTATCTCCCCTCGTGTGATTTTGGGTCTGTCTCCTCTTCCTCCCCTTTGCTCCTCCGAATTAGGCCATGAAAAAGAAGAGAAATCCCCACATGGTGCTTATATCCTTTTAGAAAGATTTTAATATGTCTCCTGACAATTGCACACTCACACATTGCCAAAGATAAATACAGAGCGTTTTTTTAAAATTTTTTTGTGCCCGCGCACAAGGACAGTACTCGCCGTTCCTACGATGCGTTACGCCACAGGGTCACGTGGCTTCTCAGGGGGATGTGATCACATCCCCCTGAGGAAGCCACGTGACCCTGTGGCGTAACGCGTAGGGGAGGGGCTCTGACGTCACGACGCCAACATCGTAGGAACGACGAGTACTGTCCTTGTGCGCGGGCACAAAAAAAATTTTAAAAAAACGCTCTGTATTTATCTTTGGCAATGTGAGTGTGCAATTGTCAGGAGACATATTAAAATCTTTCTAAAAGGATATAAGCACCATGTGGGGATTTCTCTTCTTTTTCATGGCCTAATTCGGAGGAGCAAAGGGGAGGAAGAGGAGACAGACCCAAAATCACACGAGGGGAGATACCCATATCTATCCACTCATCCGTCATACTTGGAAGAAACTGGGAGGCCATCTAGTGGAAGGAAAGCAACACTACAGTTTACCACATCTTTAGACTTTCCATATATCCACATAGATTGGGACGATTACTTTTCAGCCTAAATAAGCATTTAGAGCATGTAATTCCAATTATCGTCTCTAGTGGTACAAGTGGACTGATAATTATTCATGATCTGCATAATTTTTAGTATTATTTATTAATATTTTTTTATATAATCAATTGGGTGTTATATACATTTTTTTCATCACATATATATATATATGCATTTTTCAGTGTTTAAGGCAATATTTGCTATTTTTGCACATGCATAATTTTTTTTGCACTCGTTTATTATCAATCAAAGAGGTTTTTCTTTATTCATTTGATTTGTGGCATAATAGATAATATTTTTTTTTTTTTTTTTTTTTTTTGGCATTGATATTACACACATCATCATTTTCCAGGTATCTCTATATTAACCACAGCACTGGGCACGTTTTTCACTTTATTCACATCATATTATTATGAGATTATATTTATTTATTTAATTTATTTCAAATATACATTACAATATATATTATGTAATAATATTTTGAGGAGCGCAACACATATATTATTCTATTTTTTTGTCTATTTTTCACATAATGATTTGAGTATGTGTTTCATGTGTTGATGCACCAATTTATTTAAATAATTAATTGTAAACATTCTTTAATCATAGTAGCTCACAAGTATACACTTTTTATATTAGTAAAGACATACATAGACATACATTCACATACACAGGGAAGCAGCTTTCTTGAGCTTTTCAGGTGCAAAAACGCTTGAAAAACTCCTCAGTGTGAAAGCCGCCTTAGTGATCACATAACCTCTGTTCTCAGCTGCATAAGGAGCTTAGAGTGGTGGGGGTGGAGACTGCAAGGGGGGATGTGTCAGCAGGAGGCAGAGAAACAGCAGTACACTGATCTTCCCATGATCCAGACCCTCCCATTCAGAGTCAATATCCAAAGGACACAAAACAAACACTGAGCAAGGAAGGACTCAGTAATGTATAAAAGTGAAATAAGATGATGATTCCTAGATAGGTTGCGTTATAGAATAGAATAAAACAGAATAGAATACAAAAGAACAGCATAAAACAGAATAGAATAAGAAAATAAAAGAACAGAATAGAAAAGAATAGCATAAAACAGAATAGCATAAAAAGTAAAAGAATAGAAAATAAAGGAATAGAGTAGAATAAAACAGAATAGAATAAATTAAAACTAAGCAAATAAAGGAAAGTAATAGAAAAAAAAATAGAATAAAAAATAAAAGAATATGATAGAATAGAATAGAAAAAAAGAATAGAATAGAAAAAATAGAGCTGGCTATACTCAAGAGTTGCTTCTGGCCAGCTCAGTGGAGTGCTTTAAAAAAGTCCTGGATTATTTCTTAGATACACAGAATATAACTGGATACTAACATTTATAGGTAAAGTTGATCCAGGGAATATCTGATTGCCTCTCGGGGGATCAGGAAGGAGTTGTTTCCCCTGCAGGAGCAAATTGGATCATGCTTTGCTGGGTTTTTTTGCCTTCCTCTGGATCAACTGTGGGCATAGGATTATAACTATTTTTTTTTTTAATGGTTGAACTGGATGGACTTTTGTCTTTTTGCAGCCAGACTAACTATGTAACTATGTTACTATTCTCTGAGGATGGCAGCCTCTGATGCACCCCCCATCATACATTAAGACTGAAGAACTTTATGGACTACGTCTGATTGCTGTCTCACTCCCAGTGCTCTCCTAGTATTTCTATATGCTGTTTATATGTTTGCTGGATACCAAACCTCTGTGCACCAGAATCTCTCTATTTATATTTATAGAAAAAAATAAAATAGAATAGAACGAACATAGCCGTCATCCGAAATTCAAATTTTGGATGACAGCTATATATATGTGTTTTTTTTTTTATATTTTTTCTATTCTATACCTTCTTTTCTATTCTATTCTTTTGTATTCTAGTCTTTTCTAGTCTATTCTTTTGTATTCTAGTCTTTTCTAGTCTATTCTTTTCTGTTCTTTTCTATTTCATTCTATTCTGCTATATTCTATTCTTTTATCTTCTCTTCTATTTATTCTATTCAATAAAGTAGCCCAAGTAGGAATTATCTCACTTTTATACATTACTGTATTTATTGCCATATGTTTACATTTTGAATTCAAATTAATTTTTGAATTCGGATAATTTATATTGGATTCAGATTAAGGGAGGATATGATCGACATGCCTTCCTCTGGATCAACTGTGGGTATAGGATTATAACTTTTTTTTTTTCTTCCTATGGTTGAACTGGATGGACTTTTGTCTTTTTTTCAGCCAGACTAACTATGTAACTAATTGGATTCCTTGAAATGCGTTACAATTGTGATTCAGCAATTCATCTGAATTTCAAAATAATGAAAATTGTGTTTTGAATTTTGATTCGTAGGGAAACGAATGGCACATGTCTACATGCCACTAAGCCTTGGCACCATGGGTCTCTTATGGCAAATAAAAGCTGGAAAAGTTGCATATAGTGTCCTGTGCTCACCTCGGTGTGGGAGTCACGCTCTTTATGTTGTGCCGGGTCCATCCCGGCTGATTTTGGGTCCTCAGTGTCCCCGGAAGCACTCATGATCCACTGGTGGGTTGTTCTTCTCTTCTAATCCACATAGATTAGACTGCCTTAGGGAAGGATGACGGTGCTCCTCTGTCTGTCCGGTCTTCCTCACTCAGACTATCTGTAGAAGGAGAAGTCCCATGATTACATTGTGTATGTTCTGTACACGGACTCTGAACCCGGATCTTTGCATTAGTCCAATGTAAATATTGGAGAGGCACACAGCGCTAAATTAAAACTGGACCGTTGTGTAGTAACAGAATTGATCGGGTCTTCGCCTTATCTCCCTCATTTTAATAAGACAAAGGGTTGTAATGTCACTGAATGTCCGCAGCACCCCTGCAGCTGGTCCCCCTGGGGGGATTCACAGGTTCTGACAACCTTAAAGGTTAACTCCATCTTCCTGGACAAACAATAGCAAATCAAAAATAATATATACAATTGCTGCACAAGCCGTATTGTCATTGAATGCTATTCAAAGTTACCTTTGCTTTTTATTGTAGTTTTATATAAAATGCAAAGCAATATGGCAACCTAGAGGTGTTCTGTACGCAACTGATGTACAGAACGCCCCAGAAATGTCATTTCCTGCTTATGTGATTGGCTTACTGATATTTCTGGAAGTCTACACTAAGATACAAGTCAGATTTTTAGACATCTCCTGCAATAGGAATTTCAGTTTTGGTCAGATACTCCCCAGGAGATAAATACTTCTAAAGAGGTGCAGACCCAATAACTTTCCTCATCAGAACACTGAAAATGCAAAAGGTGATTACAATGAACCTGACTTTGTCAGAGCCGGTATCCAAGAGACGTGAAATAAACACAGAACAAAATTTTTTTCTGGGGGGGGGGAGGGAGTTGGATAGTATGTGGCGGGGTTGGAACTTCTCATTTTTGTATGCTGTGGTGAGATTCACCCTCTCTGTTTGTTTTGGTTATCACTGTAAATAGGACAAAGTAATGGGAATCGAAAATGTTACAATTGTAAATCTACACAATATCTTTGTTCTCTGCAGAGCAATCCATGTTTGGATTTCTCTTTAGAGAACAATTGATAGGCGGTGAGGAGGTGTTGTATCACCTCCTCACCAGTGGTTTTAGCCCCTTAAACCCTCACTTGCACACCTCAACCATGCTATGAGGCTTACTGACAACATATAAAGGGCTTGACAAAAAAATGTTTGTGGGCCTGAGGCAGAGATTTTTTATGTTACATACACCATATTGCCAAAAGTATTGTCCCCGCCCTCCAGATCATTGGATTCAGGTGTTCCAATCCCCTCCATGGCCACAGGTGTATAAAATCATCACCTAGGCATGCAGACTGCTCCAACAAACATTTGTGAAAGAATGGGTCGCTCTCAGGAGCTCAGTGAATTCAAGCGTGGTACCGTGATAGGTTGTCACCTGTGCAATAAGCCCATCCGTTACATTTAATGGCTACTAAATACTCCACAGTCAACTGTTAGTGGGATTATAATAAAGTGGAAGAAACTGGGAACAACAGCAACTCAGCCACCAAGTGGTAGGCCATGTAAAATGATAGAGTGGGGTCAGTGCATGCTGAAGCGCACAGTGCGCAGAAGTCGCCAACTGTCTGCAGAGTCAATAGCTAGAGACCTCCAAACTTCATGTGGCCTTCAGATTAGCACAACAACAGTGCATAGAGAGCTTCATGGAATGGGTTTCCATGGCCGAGCAGCTGCATCCAAGCCTTACATCACCAAGTGCAATGCAAAGCGTCGGATGCCATGGTGTAAAGCACGCCGCGACCGGACTCTAGAGCAGAGGAGACGTGTTCTTTGGAGTGACCAATCACGCTTCTCTGTCTGGCAATCAGATGGACGTGTCTGGATTTGGCGGTTGCCAGGAGAACTGTACTTGCCTGACTTTATTGTGCCAAGTTTAAAGTTTGGTGGAGGGGGGATCATGGTGTGGGGTTGTTTTTCAAGGATTGGGTTTGGCCCCCTAGTTCCAGTGAAGAGAACTCTTAAGGTGTCAGCATACCAAGACATTTTGGACAATTTCATGGTCCCAACTTTGTGGGAACAGTTTGGGGATGGTCCCTTCCTGTTCCAACATGACTGTGCACCAGTGCACAAAGCAAAGTCCATATAGACATGGATGAGCCAGTTTGGGGTGGAGGAACTTATCTGGCCAGAGTTCGGACCTCAACCCCATAGAACACCTTTGGGATGAATTACAGCGGAGGCTGCGGGCCAGGCCTTCTCGTCTGACATCAGTGCCTGACCTTAAAAATGTGCTTATGGAAGAATGGTCAAACCTTCCCATAGACACACTCCTAAACCTTGTGGACGGCCTTCCCAGAAGAGTTGAAGTTATTATATCTGCAAAGGGCGGGCCAACTCAATATTGAGCCCTACGGACTAAGACTGGGATATCATTAACCCCTTGGCGCCGGTGCCTCCCGGCCTTCTAAGGGTTTCAGAAGCTGGGAGGCGGGGTTTAGGGTCATGTGACTGCCGTGACGTCACATGATCGGGAAAGGTCCCGATCGAAAGAGAAGATCGGGACCTTTCTGTGAGTACCAGACCACATGTGTGCTGGGAGCGTGCAGGACTTTTTTAATAGAGTGCAAATGTGCGGCCGCTCGGCGTCTAGGCCCAGACGCCGGGAAGCCACACATTTGCGTTCGGCCGGCGTGAAGAGGTTAAAGTTCATGTGCGTGTAAGGTGGCCCAATACTTTTGGCAATATAGTGTATGTGAATAATCCTGTTTTTTTTCTCAGAAAACAGATTCAGGTCTTTTCCCCTGAATCACCCTCATCTCCGCCCTCTACCCACCTACAAGCTCTGTCCCCTGTCCCCATTTCCTACCCACCTCCAGGCATTGTCCCTTGTTCATGCACCCTGCCCACCTCCCAGTACTGCCCCTTTTAGAGAGTACAGAACCAAGTATCATGTTGTGGTAATGTGTATGGAATTTGTTAATGTAAACAAGGAAGGAAGTAAAAGAGACCCTCTGCAGCCAGTGTCCCCCCTCCCCCCCAGCAACAACAGATCCTCCCCAACAACAAATTACCCCCCAGGAAGAATAGATATCCCCAGGAAAAAATAGATTGCATGAGTAAAAATAGTTTCCCTCGGCAACAATAGATCCTATCAGCAAAAATATTTTCCCGCAGCAGCAATAGATACTATCCACAAAAATAGTTTCCCGCAGCAAAGATAGAACCTCTCCAGCAACAATAGATTTCCAAGCAGTCAGCAACATTAGATGCCTCTCCTTGACAACAGTAGATCCTCCCCAGCAACAACAGATTGCCCTAGCAACAATAGATCCTCTCCAGCGACAATAGATCCCCATCATCAAAAACATTCCTGCAACAAAGATCCTCCTAGAAACAATAGGCCCCCGGCAACAATAGATCCCCCAGGAAAAACTGATCCCCAAGCAATAGATTCTCTTTAGCAAATATAAATCCCCAGCAACAACAATATCTAAGGGCTCAGTCTCCCCTGACTAATGTAAACCCCTCCAAAGTGAGGGAATCCCTGGTTGGTCACCAGAATTAGTATCTCCATTGGAAGATTTTCTCCTCTATGTTCTGGGGAAAACCTAAAATTTGATATTTTCTTTCACTTTCAGTGAAAACATTAAACAGGGCAGATAGTGAGGGTGAATCTACCTAACAAGGACACAGACAGCAATAAAAACCTGACAGGGGTTGTGATCCCTCTGCGCTCTATTCAAAACTAAAATAAAAAGTTTGCCTTTAGGTCTACTTTTAGTATCTCTAAAACTATATACATCCACCCAAGCCTACCCTATCACAGGGTGACAACACTGCCAGCTTTTCACTGCAAGACAAAAAAATGTTGTCACCCTGTTAAAGAAAGTGGAAAAATACCAGACCCACTGGCAGGACCGACAGGAATACAACAATGTTACAGGAGATGGAGAAAAACAAAAACAGTTCTCACCCATAAATCCTCTGTAGGTCCCATTCACTTCAGCGCATCGCGCTAATGTGCATTTTTTTACACTTTTTGTGTGCATTTATTACGTGATAGCAGAGGATAGCCCTTTCACTGCAATGGGCTGCCCTACACGCAACAAATGCGTCAAATAAGCTCCTCCACCTTTTTCAGGCAGTGAGCCTCACAGAATTTTTCACCATGTGTTTTGGCACGCAACTGCTTGTCACATTCGAGGTGCCTTTAACAATAAATGGCACCACAAAGGCGATTCACATTTGTAGTGCATTTTATCTCCTATTCCTACAACACCCAGGTGCGAATGGGGTCTAAAGATTATAGATAGAAAAAAGTTATGCAAACTTTCACGAAGAGCATACTTACCCTGTAATGCCGGGTCTCTTCCTCTTCTAGATATCAGCAGTGCAGACACTTTGGTGTCACACAAACACAGCTGGCAGGTGGCTGGTCTAGAAGGATCTGCAGCGATGTGCTAACCCCAGATAGACGTTGTACAGGAAAAGGATCTCAGTCTGCATTCCGATTTAAAGAAACCGATGGCCTCGTTGCCAAATCTGTCTCTGTTTTTTACTTTTTCTATGCAATAACAAATGTGATGCAATAAAAAAAACACCAAAAAAAACAGACGTTCCCTTTCCTTATAACGGAAAACATTTTTCAGCCAGGATCGCACTTTTTTAAGGCGTGGGTCAAAAGTGTAACTATAGCTCACGGGGTCCCATAGCAAAATTATGATCCCCCCATGACCTGCCTGTTGTTATTGATCTCAACATAATGTAGGTCTAAAGGTTGGTTAGCACTAGGAATTGCACAGGAATGTGCTGCGTGTTCCTTCAGTGCCGTGCAATTTGAGCCCGTTCATTTTTAAAGGGTTCAAATCGCACTGCACCGCACCAAAAATAGTGCATGCACTACTTCTGGAGAAGCACTGCAACCGGATCGTATGGTACTTCTATATCAGTGGTCTCCGAACTGTGGCCCTTTGCTTGCCTCTATCCGGCCCTCGGAGTACTATTCCTCCCACCGATACCAGTAAGGAGGCACCATTTCTT